TTGTAGCAGATACCTGAGCGCAGCCGATGCACCAGCACACGCCATCAGTATGGCAAGGACTGCTGCAGAGTGAAGTTTTGATGGAAACCTTATGGTCCGGCCGAAGCACGCCTGATCACCTGGGGAAAACCCATTCTTGGATGGCAAAAGCAGAGTCTTCCCTAATCGGTCACCGGTGGAAATGAGTCATGAGTCCACTGCGACAACAACATGCGGCACGTCTTATGGCTGCCTCGCAGCCAGGAAGCACCAGCTCAACCAAAGCCCGAACTCCGTTTTCTGAGAATATCGATCTCGTTTTATTGGATTCGCTAGGTGGCCTGGTTTGGGAACCACTTCAATGTATGAAGACAAGCATTGCTAAAGTCAGCGCGGAATAGCCCTTGGCTGGCTTTGGGGTTGCGAGAGAATCGTCAGAAACGTCTCAGATTCCTCCTTCCTCCGAATGTACACCAGACCTCACATTGCAATGCCAACTCACCACGTTCTGAGGGAGATAGCCAGGGCCACGATACCTCATCCACCATATAGCATTGGCATCGCTCTATCGGACTATCGCCTCCCCTGCGCTTTGAATAAGCATCTGCCAGAGAAGAAAGTTAAAGATTGCGGTCACCCCAAAAACGACTTCTCCAAATTCTTCAACCCCCAGTTTCCTTCATTCTGGGCTGGAAGCTTCCAAACGCCCACTAGTAAATGCACGCATATCAGTGACCATGATGGTGGTTATGCTATTAGTCAGTTGTTTCCCAGAAGAGATAAAACTTGAATAAACAAAAGTGTCGAAATTGCGACAGGAATTATGAGACAACCCAATAGCAACGTCCGATGCCTTGAAGTCATTCGGGGGTAGTAAAATTCTAGCAGAAGGAAGTCTAACGGTAAAGAAAAGCAGATTCGACTTGCTTACGGTGTAGAAATGATTTAAAAAATTTTGAGCCAGTCGTTCTAGCAAAACGAATCTGCGTGGGTTTGTGTCAACTTCTGCTACTCGTTTTTCTTCACATGCTCATGAGAATAAATTGAAAACGAGTAATGAACCAAACTGGAAATTTCGTAGGGTGAAACTTTTGCTAAACTTGATGCATGTTCGAAATAGGCAGTTTATAGTTCTGTTATAATGTCTTCTTCTCCCTAGCGTTAGTCCCGCGCAGTCGCAGGGTCCGCTGTCTTTATCAGTCGTCGCCACTTCTTCTGCTGTGGCCGTGATTTCACTTAGGTCCTTCTTGATTACGTCCTTCCACCTCTTCTTTGGGGCACCTCGCGGTCGCTTGCCTTGCGCTTCGAAGTCCATTGCTTTCCTTATTGGGTGGTCCTGTGGCCTCCTTAGCACGTGCCCATACCATCGCAGACGCTGTTCCCGTACCTTCAGCTGGACAGGGGCAGTCTGCATGACCGCTCTGACTCCTCGTTTCTGACCCTGTCCAGTCGCGTCCAGCCGCAGGCCCACTCAGCATCCTCATCTCAGCGGAGTGAAGCTGCCTTTCGTGATTCTTGTTCAGGGGCCAGCACTCGCTGCCGTATAGCATCGCAGGCCTTACCACTGTCCGGTACACCTTCCCTTTGAGCGTTCTGGAGCACCTTCGATCGCAGAGGATTCCAGTGGACTCCCTCCATTTCATCCAGCCGTTGATTCGTGCCTTCACTGCCTGATCCACACTTCCGTCGGCTGCCAGATCGCTCCCGAAGGTATCTGAAGTCCTCCACTCTTTCGATGGTCTCACCATGGCCGTCTACGATCGGCTCTGCACCCTCTTCGGAGCTCAGGAACTTGGTCTTCTTGACATTCAGCCGTAGCCCGCCTTCTGCCAGGACCTTCTGCCATTTCTGCACCTTGGCCTGTAGTTCCTCTCTGCTATCCGCTATCAGGGCGATGTCGTCAGCGTAGAGGATGGTCTTTAGTGGTCCTTCCATGAGCCCCTTCACCATGGACATCTAGTGTTAGGAGGAAGAGGAACGGGCTCAGAGCTGACCCTTGGTGCACCCCAACCGTGATGTCCACTTCCTTCGTTAGGCCGTGTGGGGTGCGTATAGCTGCCTTCGCCCCATCGTACATGTCCTTCACCAGAGAGATCAGGTGTTCTGGCACGTTCGTTCCCTGAGCGCTCTCCATAGTACTGCTCGCGGTAGCCGGTCGAACGCCTTCTCCAGGTCGAGGAAGGCTAGGTAGCAGGGTCGGCGCTTTTCTCGATACTTTTCCATCACTTGCCTCGCGATGAAGATGGCATCCGTAGTAGACCTTTCGGGCATGAACCCGAACTGTTCCGCAGTTTCGAGTCGACCAGTCGCTCGTACAGCTTCATTGTATGAGCAGTCAACTTGATCCCGCGGTAGTTGGAGCAGTCCATCGCGTCACCCTTCTGCTTGAAGATGGGGACGATAGTGCTTGTTCTCCAGGCATCCGGCATCCTTCCTTCGGCAGTTACCGTGTTCAGGAATTGGGTGAGCCATCTGATCCCGTACTCTCCGAGCGCCCTTCCATGCCTCGATTGGCACCCCATCTGGACCCACCGCCTTTCCAACCTTCATCTTCCTTAGTTCTTGACGAACCTCATCCTCTGTCCATAGTGAGATAGGGCCAGCCGTCGCCTCTGCTTGCGAGCTGTCTTTGTGGGGAACTCCTCGTTCAGGAGCGCTTTGTAGTACTCCTCCCACCTCCTCCTGACTTCAGTTGGCTTCCTCAGGATGGCACCGTTACTGCTCTTCACGCTCTTCACCACCCTATGTCTTGGGTAGCCCGATGCCGGGCTTTGGCCAGTCTGAAGACGAACTTCTCTGCGTTTCTGCTTTCCAACTTCTCGTACAAGGCGTCCATTTCCGTGTTCTTCGCCTTGCGACGGCAGCCTTAGCGAGCCTCTTGCAACTCTTGTAGGTAGCGAGGTCTTCGGGCTCCGGGTCTTCTGCCAGCGCTTGTATGCTTCCTTCTTCTGCTTCACGACTCGCTGGACCTCCTCGTTCCAGAACCACGCTGCCTTGTCTCCTCTGAATCCACCTCGCGTCTCGCCCAGTACCTCCTTGGCGCATCGTAGGATGATCTCAGCTGCATTGCCCCAAGTCTGCTGCACTGGTCCCTCAGGATCTGGGAGACCAACTTCCATTATCCTTCGTTTGAGGTCGCTCTTCTCTGCTCGGTGCAACTTCCACCACCGGATTCTCCTCTCGGTTCTTACCCTTGTCTTCTTGGGAAGGTCTATGGCTATGTCTGCCAGGAGGGCCTGTGCTGAGGAGCCAGTTCTTCGCCAGGAATTACCTTGATATCCTTCACAGTTTTGAGGGATGATCTTCTTACCAGCACATGGTCGATTTCCGTCTGTCTCCCTCCACTGCTGTAGGTTACCTTCTGAGTCTCCCTTTTCGCGAAGAACGTGCTGCAGATTGCCAGATCGTGGGCTGTAGCCAGGTCCAGGACCCTCTCTCCCTCGGCGTTCCTCACTCCTATCCTCTACCTCCGTGCACCCTTTCCAGGCCTCTTCTGTCACTGCCGACGTGACCATTCAGATCACCTGCTATGGTCAGGTAATCGCCTTCCGGAATCGATCTGATGGCTTCGTCAAGGCTCAGGTAGAACTCGTCCTTCACTCTCGGGGCATCCGGTCTTGCGGTGCGTACACGAGAGTATTGACCAGTACCCCTCCTTCGTGTCTATCCTCACAGCCATGATCCGATCGCTGATCCTGTTCACAGCGGAGACATAGTCCTTGAGCGACTCCGCTACCGCTATGGCCACGCCGTTCCCCATTGTAGTAGAGTTTGACACCTTCCCCGATTTCCCTGGCCTTAGCACCTTTCCATCGCGTCTCCTGAAGGCATAGGACTTGGATATTCTGCGCGTCATCAGATCAGCAACCTCTCGGGACTTCCAGTTAGCGATCCTACGTTCAGAGTCCCAATTCGAACTAGCTTCTTTGGCCGAGGCCGTTCACTCCTCGGTAGCCCTCGCATACTGACCACAGAACTCGGGCGGGGGGTTCTGCGCGCCACTTCCGGGTGACGTCCTAGCTTTATCACTGATTCTTTGACGACTTTTAGACATGTTGGTGTGACTGGGGTCTTCATCAGCCGGCCTGTCAACCTGGGCCTGACGCTGGTACTAGAACCATTTTTGCAATTTTGCAAGGCATGGTTAGCCTCGGCAGGGATCGAACTCGCGGTTTTTCAGAGGTGCAGACATGAGTCTAACCTCTTAACCACTCGGCTATCCCTGCCTTTGTTAGTTTTGTTATAATGTGATCTATAGAATAATTGGAAGCAACTTAGGAGGAGCTCGCGCAGGCGCAAGAAAAAGAAATCATATAATTGAGGCGAGCTACCATGTCAAAATATCCCACTTGGACTGCAAAGTGGGACGCGCAACCGCGTTACGCTCTCGTGAATATGTGAAAGGCAGTGATCACGATGGTTGGAGGGAGGTGCATTTTCGAGGACGTCACTGAACCTTGAACACCAATGACGTTCGACGACGTCATCAAAACCGGACCGCCCTCCAGCCGTCGTGATCGCTGCCTTCAATGTGAAAAAAAAATAATTATCGAAAATTCAGGCAAAGTTTTCTCGGTGATGGCAACTCTTGAATTTGCAACTAATTTTTCAATTTTTTTCGCTTCTACACATTAGGTCACTGAATTCATTCGAATTCATTCGTCTTGACTAGTGGAGGAAATGTACGTGTAGAGCGAAAGTAGCGTCGTTGTCAATCGCCAAGGGCCACGTGCCAAGTTCGAGGGACCGAACCCGTTCCAAACAACCAGCCTTTCATCTCTCAGAATTTGTTCATTCTTATCAGACGCGTCCAAGATTGCAAAATTAATGATTGGTCCAACGGCCAGTATACTATTTCATTGCCTTGGCCAAATCACATTAAAATGTTAACAAATGAATCCAGAATGCGTGGCACATCTTGGAAGGAATGGCCAACATCAGAGGGCTACAGTAAGTTTGATTTTCTCGTATGAGTAAAGAAGCAATATGGCGGCGCTACTGATTGTAACACTTTTTTTTACCTGCACTCCAGTAGGGCAGAACGGCATCGGACAGCATCCACCATTTGAGCATTCCATACGTGGACCGCATTCCTGAAATCGTTGTCTTCCTACCTTTGTAGCCATTCCTAGATGTTTAGTAGGACGCCTCACAGATTTCGTGGCAACGTTTACGCACTTGGCTAGCATCTTATTTATTGAAATTCTGGGTTCAATATTCATACCGGATCCACAGAACAACGCCGTTGTGACTGCTGACCATTGGGACAAACTGGAAGCTTCACCATCTCCTGACAACATGATCCACCTGGCAGGTAACATGAGCCACTCGAGCAACCACCAGGCGAACAGAAACCCAACGCCGTCTAAACAGAACACCGCGGAGTACAGCTCAGACTTAACAACACACAAAAATAAGTACTCATTTTGTTCATGTATTTGACCTTGGCACTGGTCCTGTGCAATTCACGTTTGGATACTAAACATACGCGAAAATTGGCAAAGAAATACGGTATTCTAAGATTTTGTACCACTGCATCCAGCGACCCGGTGCATGTCCATGCAGACTTCACAACACAATTGGCGACAGTCCCCACAAAACGTAATAGCCTTACGCCAGTGGAATTCATGCCAATTCTAGTTGTATTTTGTCGATCGTCACTTAATGCAAATATATATTATTTACCGCTCATCAACAATCTCTACAATTCAGTAGTTTAAGATTTGTTCAGGGTCTGTCGTAACTTGTGCTGCACATTCTGCAATGCAGACTTCCCTGGGTCTATGAGCTAGATGAGCGGTAAGCCTTTCTACCGTTCTGATGAGCTTCTGCCTAGCAGTCTTTTAAGGGAACTCAACAGCAACGTCGTCACTATTCGGCATTCATTTAACAACAAAAAAAAATCAGCAAGCTTCAAGCAAGCTACAAGCAAACACTTAAAGTAGTCATAGCCTATGTGGATAAAACAATATGATGGAAAATTCGAGAGCGAGAACTTCTTAGGTTTCGTTGGAGCAAAATAAGTCAAGCTGAGAATGAGGGGTGCGCCTACCTGGCCAACAGGACAGCTCATCGGACAACAGCCACCTTGATAGCATGCATTGCCTGGAGGACAACCGCCTTTACAAGGCTGAAGAGACGGCTGTCCATCTGAAAGGACAAGCATCTGTTTGTTCTTGTGAACATCACGGATACAATAGGTGATAAGTGAGTGAGTGGGGAAGGGAACCACGCGGCGTCTCGAGCGCGATGGCACTGAGCCTGAGCATAGGAAGGTGAACAGTAGGCTCTGAACAGTAGGATTTGGGGCCACAAGAATGCTGAGTTGTAGGCAAAATTTTCGCCCCAGCCGGGAATCGTACCCGATACCCAATAAAAACAAGTGAAAATAGTGTGATTCCGCAGAATCCAACTTTTGGCACTTTTGAGCCTCCTTCCGATTGACGGCGCCATTTCACCACGTGGTCCTTCCCCCAGCTTATTTAGCACCATTCAAAAGCTGTTCAAAACGAAATTCTAAACCGGCAAAAAAGTGCAAAAAAAGAAAGGGGAAGAGTTTGTCATCATGAACAAAGTTACCTCTGTCATAAGGATGAACTCACTTGGACATAGCTGTATCACATTGTAGACGAGATCAGTAGAAGGGCGAGCAGCTGAAGGACAGCAAGCATTGATCGCTGGGCTACAGGAAGTACCCTGTGGACACGAACCGCAAGCACCCAAAGGAGGCGAAAACGATCCGGGACAAAGTGCTGAATTCACAAAATATGAACTATCAAGGCTTCCAGCAGCCACAGTAATCTGATAGGAACAAAGAAGGACCCACTTATTTGTACAGATTGTCTCGGCTGATTGACTGGGACTGGACAGCAACCGATACCTGGTGCGCAAGCCGAATCTAAAAACGACGCTTGAGTAGCTATGCTGGATATAAAAAGAATGCCTGCGACAAACAGAAAGGGTCTAGGTCATTCCAACAAGAGGTGAGAGGTGAATTTTCAGATTAAAACAATGGCTGACAACTTCATCCAATTTTGTTAGTGCCACGAGTCAAGTTGCCGTTCAGCTACATGACTCGTGGATTATTTATTCTTAGTCGACTGCGAAGGAATCTTTTCCTGGCCGAATTGAAGGCAGAGATAAGGATGGCTGGAAGGCGTAGCGGTTTGATAAAGTCATTGGTGGAAGGGCGTTGAGACGCGGTCTTGACCACGCTTCACCCCCGTCTTCCCCGCCTAAGGGACAAGTTGACCAGCGGCGCACAGTGACGTCATCAAAACCGCACCGCCCTTCAGCCATTGTGATCATTGCCTTTAAGGGTGGACACGGCCGGTGGCTTGAACGCGTTGGTCCATTAAAAGGAAACTAACGATCACTCTATAGAAATAATTTTTAATATTAGGTTGTCCCATAATTAGTGAATCACTTTGGGTATTTTTGAATTCAATTTTTTTCTTTTTTATGTGAAGTCTTTGCTCATCCAAACATACACCTCTGTCATCTACAATGTATTGCCTATACAAGGAAATTTAGTCGCTGTCTTATCTCTAGAATTCCAGGAGCTATTGATCGAAGAAAGATCGGAAGTCGAGTTTGAGGTCATGTCACTTAGCGTAAAATTTCTTCCTGGGAAGAGCGCTAGAGGTCAGACTGAGTTGTCTTTTGTTGGCACGAGGATAGGGCCACACAGAGGAAGTGAAAGAACTGCTAGCCTGAGAGTCTCCAATTTTTTATGAATATTCTCCGCAAGGTGGGGTCGAACGACCTCAGGAAAAAAGCAGACTTTGTCTTGCTTTACTTTCAAATTGAACGCGTCGCCATTACGCTGTCGACGTTGATCTTCTTCAGTGACCCTAGTATTACTGGGCGGCGGTTCCCAGCGCAAGGTCACTCTCGTGCTCCACCAATATCTCGGAAGGGTCGGACTCAAGGAGGTTGGCTTTTGCTGTCAGAACTCCCGAATCGTTCAGCTAGGCTACTGCTCCTTGGAGATTTGCTAGTACACTCCACCCAGTCCAGAACCCTGGTGAATATGCTGGATGATCACTGTAAGGAACTAAGGGAGATCAGAAGGAACATGATGATGTCAGATCGTGTGTGGAGCTGTTTCGGGCTCAGAGCATACAAGATACAAACTAAATATTTTAAAATCTTTACAACTCTACGTAGATGTCTACATTCCATCATTTTAACAAGTCGGACATGCTCTAGCAAATGGCGACTAGTTTGTCCAGATCCACCCTCAGTGGCGCTGGGTACAGCAGTGAGATTGCCAGTTGAGGGGTAGTTGGAGTGTGGGTCATCTTCAACTAAAAAAGCCAACCTCTCGATAGAGTGAACTACAAGCAGACCGTGGATTGAGGGAGCGTGCCCTCGCCTATCTGCTGGTTGATTCTCTATGTTGTTGGGCGTTTGAAAGATCCTAATCAGAAGTGATTAAGAAGGGAGCTCAAAAATAGGTTCCAGAAAAATTGAAATATCAGCCACGGAAGGCAGCATGTAAATGGGCTGAGTAATTGCTCAGGTAGGATAATGTGGGTGCTACTTCGCAAAACATGTTTCACGCCTTCACCATTTTTCTTGGATTTTTAATAGCAATAAATGTAAAGTGATTCACTAATTATGGGACAACCTAATAGATATCACGAGGACAACATGCATCGGATCATTTCGGGCCTGAAAGGAGCTGTACAAGACCGCTTGGGCTCTGTACCACACCTTTTAGGCCGGAAATGCGGACCTGCTGACCGCCGCTTTCGTTGACCATATTACACTGGTCCATGCAACGAGATGTCTTCACCCTCTAGTGTGGTGTGCTCTCCTCATATTCTCCATTTTGAGCGCACTGTGTCTCTAAGTTGCAGCATACCCCAAAAGAAAGGGAGCATTCAAGGGTGTTTTTGAGAAACTTTGATTTTTTCTTCCTCCTGTGCGCCCGCATCGCGGACAGGTCTGATCTGTCCGGCTTTTCAGGAAAACTGGTATGCACGCCTTACTTTCACACGCCCGGTAGAATCCGGATGGCGAGGAGCACTGGCCTGAGATGTCCTTTCAAGTTCTGCGAGCGGTGGTAGGCGAATGCACACAATCCGTGAAACATACTCGCAGCCAACAACTAGCAAGGCCATAAAAGCGAGCTTCTACACACAATAAGCATTCCCATCACCATCAACAGGGGAAACTAAGCAAAGGCGCCATATGTGAAGCGGCTATTGTATAAAAATAAACTGTACCAGAACGATGGATAGAACACTGCAGAAGCTTTTAAGTTTTCCTTCCGAGAAAAATGAAAATCAAAATCATAAAACTGTTTTGGATAGGCCGTAAAAGCCTAAGAATTGGAAAATAGCTCACACTGAGGGCATGGTTCATTGCACGATCCCAACGGTGGCACATTCGAACCAGGGCACACTAAATATGAATATTTGAATACCGACAATGTAAACTCGATAGAAACGAAACTGAGGAACAACTTTATATAAGAATCAATAGAAACAAAAAAAAATTAAGATGAAAGAGGTGGCCTACACGGTGCTTGATGCTGGATGAAATTATCGATAATCTCCTTCTGCTGGCAGCACACATCCTAAAAATCATCGGCCAGATATCGCAACACTTGTAAATCACTCAGAAAAGAGCAAATCGGCCAAAACGCACATTAAAAAAAACAACTAAAACTGTTTGCAGATAAATTTCCGTCAAAGTTACCTTTGAACAAATAGCTATTCCAGGACACTGATTCGCTCCAGCTGCTTGCGCACAGTTGCACACCGGCTCCTGCTGAGGCTCACATGCTGACCTTTTTACTGTCATTGAGATGCAAAGTGATGATGAGGGTGAAAATATCGTATTGGCTGCACAGGGAAGCCGCGTCCACTCTCCGCATGAAGAGCTAGAAATGGAAAACTGTGAAAAACCCTCAGTAAAATTAAGTGCAGGCAGACACCGGGATAAAGGGAACTTTGAGCGAGTAACAGGGTGCTTCACAGGTGCGAGAAGACACTCTAAGATGCTGGAAGCTAGCCACATCGCCAATCACAAAGGTTATTAGTACCACCGCGTCTCCATCTCGCCTTTTGGTACTATTCAGAAATGACCCTTTAGGCAAAGTCAGGTGAACGATTCTCTGTCTGTAGGATAGACTCCTAGAAGAAAATCACAGATGTGGCGCTTCATGCATGGAATCGCTCTGAGAGCGCTAGCGTCTTGCGAAGGCCGCTTGAACCGCTTCACTTCTTCTGGTCCGTAGCATTACTGTTCTCTGGCGCCTTCTCATCTGCTGGGCTCTTCCGCTTAACCTCTCTTCACCGTAATCATTACTTTTTGTTACAGGAGAGTCAAATCCAATAGGTGATTAAGGGTTCCACGCCCGCGCCGCTCGCGTCACTCCTCTCCCATCGGTGAGCTCACCATTGCCGCCTTACTCTAGCCACTTTAGCGGAGAGGGCGTTACCTTGGTGAGGTCTGCATCAATGAGAATACCTCAAAGGAATCTTCCACGGAAAAAGCTCCGCCCTCATTACCACAGAAAACGATACCTTAAAGGAATCTTCCACGGAAACATTTTGTCTTGTGTGTAGGATTAGTATTATCGAAACTAACGCTTATGTTCCGTTCTTTTTGCTATGCTCATGAGGCTAGGGGCCTAAGGTATCGTTTTTCTGTGGTAATGGAGGCGGAGCTTTTTCCGTGGAAGATTCCTTTAATGTGCAGAGTTTCGGGTAAATGGGGTCCCAATCAGTTCTAAACGCTTGCTGCCTCTTAATCGAAAACTCAGCCTTTAAAGGTAGCGATCACGATGGCTAGAGGATGGTGCGGCTTTGATGACGTCATTTTTGAAGGGATTAGGCGGTACAGCTGGTACTGAATGTGAGCAATGTGTTCCTATTCCATCACTCTTGCACGGAGGAACAGACTTTGATTTTCACAAAGTTTAATCCTTGTTCTGAAGTGACAGAGCCTTACAATCAAAAGAAAATTCCAGAGTCAGGCTACTCCAAATCTGACTTGAGGCTATTGCCGGGTAACCGCAAATGAGGGCGTTTATAGTGCATGAGCTCTTTCTAAAGCGCTCACCTCGATGATTGTGGAGTGCACTGGATAAAGTATGCATTACTCTTCGGATCAGGCTGTAGATTGGCTTCCTGCCAGTCACATGGTGCTCCAATAGTTGGTGTCGATACAGCACCTATAATGCACTGTACAGTGGAGGATTCAATACCCAGTCAACACACGGCTGTTAAGAGCTCCACTTCCAGAACAAAAGCACCAATTTGTTTCAGATCGTGAATTCCCTCCATTTTGTGAGGGAGCAGAATATGTAGAAGAGTGCAGCCCTGGCACGAAAGGACGTTCAGGGTTAAGCGTGGGCTCGCACGCCTCCGACTGACAAGGAACGGCTCCCAGGTCGCCATGGCCATTCAAGAAGAGATGTATACGCCTAGATGTGCCTTCGAACGCTGATCTCAAATCTACCTTCCAAATCTGCTAAACGATTCTCTGAACGGAGTTATGAAGCAAAACAGCGCAACGGTAGTGGTCGGGACTCACAGTCAAAACGTCGTAGGATCGGTCCCTTATCGTGTTTACTGTTTTATTCTTCAGGAATACAGCTAAACGGCTTTTAATAGCCTATTAACTAAATTCCTGAAGAATGCAAAGAATACGATAAGGGACCGATCCTACGACGTTTTGACTGTGAGTCCCGACCACTACCGTTGCGCTGTTTTGCTTCATAACTCCTTCAGAGAATCGTTTAGCAGATTTGGAAGGTAGATTTGAGATCAGCGTTCGAAGGCACATCTAGCGTATACATCTCTTCTTGAATGGCCATGGCGACCTGGGAGCCTTTCCTTGTGAGCGCATTTTTCACGCTGAGCTGTTTCCACTAGTGGACAGTGATCACAAGGCTGTTAAGTTATTGGCAAAACACTTCGCTCCAGAAGTTCAAAGTTGCATCATTTGGTTATAGGACGATCGCGCTTCCGATTGCGCTACCCAGGCACCGATTCACCCTTTTTACTCAGCTCTCAATGACATATTCACTACAGCTTGTGAGCACTTGCACGTCAAACGCAATGACCCGATTGGACGATGTTGGCACTTATATGAAAAAAGGAACAGTTCAGCGTTTATCCATCTCTTTCGACGGCACGAATTCTAGTTCCATTTAGTAGCATTCTTGAAGCGGTTCGCTCATACGATGACTTGGGGGGGGGGGCAGTCGATGAACACTTCATTGGTATTATCTTCACGAACAAGTCTAGTGTCAGCAGAACGAACGAATAGAAGGAAGGCGTGGTTGGCCTGGACAATTATAGGCTCCAGGATTTGATCGTTGAGCTTTGTGGCTGCGTCACTTGCCGCTACATCATTTCCACCCCATTGAATTACACATTAAATTGTACTCGCCGCAGATTGCTTTCAATAATGCAATATTTTGGATTACTCTAGGAGAAGCCCGATTTCAAGAACAAGCTCCATGATCCTTAGCGAGAATATAACCAATTTTCATTGAGGGCTTCCCAACTGTACCTTCAGGCAGAAGACTCTAGAGTTTGGGTTTTCAGTGACCTAGCAGTTGGACAGAATCTAGGTTTAGGGTCCATGCTGCTCTGACATCATCCGTATTGCAACAGTGGTCGAGTGGAGCTCGGGAGGTGGTGGACCTATCAGGATGGCATCCAAAGCCATTCCAGTGACTTGCAGCGCTGGCCGGTCACTGCCTTTCTTTTCCATGTTGCTACCGCTCTGTTCCTCACCCCTCAGCATTACCCTGGATATTCTTAGCTTCTGTTGGCGCACAGTATAACCATTCCATGTCGGGAACACATTTTTTCTTGAACATTTGTTTTTTCTCTATACTATAGTACATCGATTGATGACTTTTGTAGGCGATTACCTTTTTTAACATATCAGGTACTCTGGATCGGAAAACAATAGCAAAATAAATAAATAGATAGAAGCCAGATGTCAGACGTACCACTGCAAGGCGCATCACAGCCAACGGTCGACGAATTCTGAGCGCAGGCAGCTTGCTGACGACGCATTTTCTTTCGTTCCAAACACTTTTGACGGCTCACGTCGAACTCGAACGACTCGGGGCAGTCGCGTAAATTCCAGACACCCATGTATTTCTCGGACAGATTGTATTCTTTCACCTGAAGTCGATAAGATGGTTAGTGCTCTTTTAAAGTAAACGATTACGATTAAGAGGGAGAGCATGGGAAGACTATAGGGTCACACGAAGCAGTAGCTTGGCTGCCAAGGAAGCAACATGTAGCGCTTAAAGGAATCTTCCACGAAAAAAGCTCCGCTAT